CATCCGAGTTCCCTCAACCGGAAGTTTTCCATCAAAGTTAATGCTAGTTCACACTGCATAGACAGCAAAAAGAGAACAGTCCCCTTCAAACTCCAAGATGCCCTTCCCATGACGTTTCGTGTCGGCCGTGTAAAATCGTTAATCATAATCAGCCTGACTCATGACGTAAAAGGTAATGAAATCCTTCGCGTTCATGTGTCATGAAGATTCGTCACATTTCCTCATCATGTTAGGATCCATCATAAGCAAACTCGAGCCCATCATCGCCGTCCAGGCTAACTTGATGGCCAGCGTCACCGCGAGGGAACCCTGATGTGAAGTCGTCGTGAACCGTCGTCAAAGCTAACACGGCTTCGTCATCGAGGATCTGCTGAGAGGGCAACGTCTCTTCGGTCATCTTGCGTTGGGCTGTGCGTGCTGCAGCCAGAGCCAGGGCGACTTCGGCCCTGGTAATTCCTTGAGTGTCTGCAGGCTCTGCGACCCGGATGCGTTTGGGAGAAGGCTCATCCGGCTGATATTCTACCTCTCGGTGACCAGGTCCGCTACCCACGGCATCAATGACATCCCCCCCAGGTGTGTCCTTTTCCGGGCTCGCGTTGTCCCTCTGAGGCTGCGCCTTCTTGTGTTGTTCCGATGGGCCAAGAGGGCGCGGGGACAGAGCCACAGGGTGTGGAACCAAGACCGTGTCGATGTCGTGGCCATTGGGGGGATCGACGATTGAATAATCGCTCGAGTCGTGAAAGCTGCTCGCCTCGGCAAAATTGTTCTCTGGAGGTTCCCCGATGGGTCCAGCAATGTCTTCAGGCGAGCGACTTGTTGTTGCTGCCGGTGGATCCGCTCGCGTGGAGGAAGACATGGACGCGTCGGTAGTCGCAAGCTGGCTAGCTTTAACTGGGTTTTCTTTTTGTAAGGCAGAGGCAAAGGGATTCGAAGGTCGTGAGCGAGAATGAGCTGAACGAGCGGGAGGGTACCAGTCAAAACTGTTCAAGTTAGGGGTATGAGCAGTACTAGGGCCGGGGCCAGGGCCAGGGCCAGGCTCAGGCGCGAGAGGGGGTAAATTCTTGTCTCCAGCGCTCCAGGCTGTTTTCGAGGAGGTGGAACTGACAGCATCTGGCAGCTTGCCAGGGTTGGCATTCGGCACCAAACTGGTCTCTGTCACTGGTGATGTATCTCTGGACGCCGCTGGACCTGAGTAGCGGCTGTCTGGCTTCGGCGGAGGGTTCTTAGGATTTCCCGCTCGGCGTGCCTGTAGCGTGGCAAGGAGCCTGTCGTTATATTTTTCTTTTCTCTTTTCGAGTTCGAGATAGTCCTCGCGCGTATGGACTCTAACAGGAGGTCCGCCACCCCCATAAATCACGGTTCTGTTTCCCGGCATAGCAAAGATGCGATCTAAGAATGGATTGCCAGTGATGCTTGTGATGTTGGCGGTGGCGTTGGCGGCGGCAGCAGCATCTATAGCGCTGAGACGTTCAATCTCCCTCTCATCTCGACGTTGCCGTTCAGCGCTCGTCTCCACCGTCCTCATGGGCGGGCTCCCCTGTTTGCGCGGCCTGCCACGGCCGGGACCGGGGCGGCGAGTGATGGGATTCCGGGTAGGGTCATGCGATTCTTCCTGCACCCCGGGCTTTCCGAAGAGACCTATGCCCCGTGTCGTATGCTGAGCACGGCGCAGCCCTTGAAAGTGTTGACTAAAGGGAACGTATCAGCGGGTCGTCAGGAGGCTGTTGATGACGGAACGATCGGAATGGAACAGGGTGGATCAAGATGACAAGGTATGGCATAAGAGAGGCGCGACGTGTGTGGCAGTATAGAAGTACGAGGCAGCGAAGCCGAGGAGTGACAAGAACAAGAAAGCACATCTCTCACTCACCGGCATCCTTCATTGGTGAAGCCATAGCCCATGGATCTCATGGAGTTCCCGATCGATGTCCATTCCGGTCCGGTGATGATGCCAATGCATTTCACACTGAGTATGGTGAAGAAGAGATCACGGTCCGCGCGATCGGTCCAACTCTTGCTGAACATGACCAATGGTCATTCAGCCAGCCCCTGGGCTGGGATGATGAACCGTCACCGGCCGAGCTCACTTTTGACCTTGGTCTCTTTCTTGGCTTGTGGCCCGGAGGTCCTGGCGGTGCCGTTGAAGACCGCTAGGACAGGGGTGGTGGGGAAGCACGGCGGTTGATACGACGCTGGGAATGTCTGGTCGGAAGGAAGGTTCAAGCTGTTAGTGGTCCTAGCAGAAGTGACTGAGAGTCAAGGCCCAGGGAGAAAGTTTGATAGTGGTTAACAGGGCGGAGAAGGGCATGGCAGCCAAAGACATGGGTCATGAATGTTAAGGACACTTCCAACTGAGGGGGTGAAGGCACGTGCGCTGATTGTTGATTGCGCTATTCCCAAGAAGACGACGCTTTGGGACGGGCGATGACGAAAGAGGGAACCGGCCCAGGGTTGATCCGGCCTGCACCTGGCGGTGTACCTCGTGCTGACCGTCAGGGAGTGTCAAGGAGGACACCAGCCCATCATGAAAAGCGCGGATGGAGCTCTTTTTGGGGGGCGCATTCTGCCTGTTACTGACTGAAATTCGTGAGAACTTCATGAGCATCCTTGCACATGCTGCCACGCAATTATCTGCCTTTGGCACCTAGATCACGTAGGATGGACGACTTTTGCTACCTACCTATGTAGGGAGGACGAAATGTCGAAACATATCCACCACACCTCGTACCGTCCATGTGCCTCGCACTCTCAGCTGAGAAGGTCCCCACATCCGAATTATGGAACCACGGCCCCGCTCACGTGACTTCGTGGAAACCTGGCGAAGCACCAGCAGCAAAGTGGCGCCCCAACGGTTCGCGAGAAACGCGTCTCCCGACCACATCATCTCAACCCACCAACTTGAGGTCATCGCTGTGGGTGCGCAACGCGGCCGTTCATCGTCCCGAAACCTCTATGGAACGCCTGCACGGGTACTCTTTGGTTGGTTCACGAGTTGAGCTCTTGGATTGGCGATTTTTGGCCGTCAATCGAGGCTTATAGCATCTTACCATCATGGCCCCCCTAAACCTGCTTGCGACGATGATTTGGACCCCTCCACCACCAGCTCAGGCGCGGATCAGCTTGCAGCGTGCAGCCGGGTGGTGCGACTGCGCCCAGGCATGATTCATTCTTTCCTGACCTCCCTGGCAATATCTGGTCGAGACCAAATCCCTGCGAGCGATGCTTTCGACGGCGCAACACCGTTCCAGTGTCGCTTCACGGTCGGTCGTCACAAACGTTTGAGATGCCCCCAAGGACCGTGTCACATCAAATGGCCATGGCACATCAATCGACAAAATCTTACTCGGCCACAATTGATGTCAGCCCGCCAGCAAGCGTCAATGGCCAGGTGTCGCGCAAACGGCCGTCGTTCGCCGATTGTTGCCAATGGCCCAAGGATCGATGCCCCCCCCCCCCAGCCTCGTCCATTTTTTTTTTGAGCATCTCAATTCCGCTCATCCCCCAATCACTTTCTCTTCCTCTTCTGTGACTCACACTGCGACCTTTGGACTGCATCCGCCTCCCAAAACCCCATACACACGTGTGGTCTTTTCGTCGCATGATCATCCCTGTCCAAACCTGTCGACGGCCGCGTTCCTGGATCTGCATCACCGCCCATGGTCGGTCTGTGAAGCCCCCTCCCCTTCCGCTCCGATTGTCTCTGTCTGTCTCGTTTTCCAATCCTTCCCTTGACCCTCTTTTATTCGCCCCCAGGAAGCGCAATTGACGAGTCAGTCCTGAACTCGTTGCCCGCCGATGCAGACCCCAGCTGCCGCGGAGAGTGAGTGCATGTCGGCCGATGCGCGCTAAGCCCGAGGCATCGCATTGTCACGACACCTCAACTCTGATTCGAACGCCTCATTCGCTCCCACGAGGGCCACTGACCTTGCACACGCCCACTTCTCCCTGGCGGCGGAGCGTACCTGTACAAGCTTGGGTCTAGCTCGGGCTCACTCTCCTTTTTCTTCGCACAGCATCCAAGACGAACAGGGATAGGGATCGCCGGGGCAAACCACTTTACGCGACAACACGCCCGCGTCCTCGGCTCTTCACCCCACCATGTCGCTGCCTTGGCCGTCACACATGCACACCAAATTGACTTGGACCCCCCTCCCCTCCCAAACGTCACCGAAAGAGGCATCCATCACACCCCCCCTTTCCACGAATGAAGCCAGAAAGATGCGGGTAGCTCCAGGCAACAAGGGCTGTTTTGATGACTTGTCGCAACTTTTAGGCAGTTTGCCACGTACGGCTCTCGATCTATCCACCGCCGAGCGCTTCCCATTAAAGGCCTCTACTCCTTTTCGTCCCGCACCTTCTGCACCTCCTGCTCTCCT